CAGATCATTCGCAACTGTTAACCAGACACAATTTTATATCTTTGCGTATCAGAAGAATACTTTTATCTATTACTTTTTTATTTAAACTTTTGCACAACTTGACTCAAATTTACGAAGTCACCCTGCTTTTTATTGCAGGCTAGCACGAACAAATGTTTTGCTTAGGTCGCCAATTTATAATATGTGTTCCAAGTTTAATGTAATATCCGAGCTATGTAGTTGATATACACAATGATTTCTTAATAATTCTTAATCAATCCAGGTTGCAGCAACTGAATATTTTATGTAGTTTATCTTTTTTTTCCTTTTTATTTTTTAGTTTATTTTGTTATATTTGGGTTTTTGCATGTATTGTACTTATTTTTTTAGTTAGGCTCTGCCTTAAGCTTATTGTAATTGTTTTTTAGTTTAGCTCTTACTTATCCTTAACCTTAATTGTTGACCTATTATTGGAGTCGTTATTCTGTTTGACAATAAAGATTATTATTATTATTATTATTATTATTATTATTATTATTATTATTATTATTATTATTATTATTATTATTATTATTATAAAAAATCGCCCATGGACAAGTCAGGAGACCAAGGAGGCCAATTTATGTCACCAAACCTGAAAATAAGACGATTTGAAAAAAGGGCGAATAACGTCCATTGATGCTGGGGCTAATAAGAGGACGCTGGTGTTTCGTTGATTGTTTGATTTGTACCGAAACGCAACCAAAACAGCAGACGTCGATACAACGACAACCAGTGCCGCTGGTGGTGAAAAAACAAAAGCTAATTTGTGCAATTTAGTGGGTTGGTTTTGTCAATTTTCCCTAGGTCATAGTACTCGTATGGTATAACTTAATATCGGGCCGAATATTATCTCTCTTCAAATCTTTTATACAGTAAATATTTTATTGAAAAAATCCTTGTTCATTAATGCATTCACCTGTTTTTTAATTTGTTTTGACCCAATTGAATGGAGCTAGGCTAGGGCTGGGTATTTATGTAATGGCGGCAATAAGAAATGCAGAAAGATACCACATTAAAATATTTAAAATAATACAGAACTTAGCAAAAACTCTTTATAAATCTCAATAAAGTTCCAAGCTGCATGGCTGCGCCAACTATCTTTATTCCACAGGAACCAACCGAAATTAGTAATTAAGAAATAAAATTAAAACATTGAACCTAGAAATTACAGTAATTACAGTAATTAAGTAATGAAATAATCATGAGTTTCTTGTTGCATGGAATCATTTAATTTTTACACAGTCAAGTGTGCAAGTTATAAGGAACCATAGTAGTCTACCCATATGGTTTTTGATCAACTGAATTTGAATCCGCAATCAGAGCCTCTGTTGCAAAGTCGTCATTGCGTCATCAAATTTTGAACCAAGCACAGACATTATAATTGGTGTTTTCTTTTTCGTATGTAATCCAAGGAACCGCTAGTTAGGGCACAATCACTCGGATCTAAGACGAACGTGAGTCCGATGTCACGCTCACTCAGCGTGTGTTAAACAAGGAGGCATGAGTTTGTGGTAGGAGAGGTTCGGTTTTTGTGACGTGCTCAGCGGCGTTCCTCATCGACATTTAATATTTGTAGTTGACATTGACATTTATATATTTCTATCATTTTAAAGTTTTTTTTGCATCAAATATGGTATTTTTATAATGAAATTAGTGTTTCAGTATTCGATTTTATCAAAAATCTCTACGATTCTGATCAGAATGCCCGGAAATCGGTTAGATGGGAAACAGCAGTGATTTGTGTTTAACTTAGGGAACTGGAGCATGGGTGCTCTCATTAAATTGTATCCAAGAGGTAAGAGCCATAGCGACAACAAAATGCTGGAGATTTGGAACCAGACACTTAGCCTTACTGAGGAGTGGTTCCAGCGGCAAAGAATAATGAACGAAGTTTCGGAACTAATCATCCACCTCGGAGACGACAGTTTCGACAAGGATGATGACTTTGACGACAGTATTTAGATAAATAAGTTTTTAAAAATAAAATACATAATGTAAAATAAACACCGTCATTCTATAAATAAATATTACAACATAAAAATTATTTTCCACCTAAATCGTTTATGTTAATAAATTGTCCCCACGTGGTTACGGCCCTAGACCACATCAATAGATATTCTACTCTAATGGATGGCCTTGTATCATAATATACATAGTTTCTTCATTTTAGACGGCGCTGTGGTCAATGACGATGTAGCAACCCCGCAAGTTGCGGGCCGCAACTAATAAACAGCTTTAACCTTTTTAATTAATTCATAAACAGCTGTCACTCATCATTAAAATATTTTATTAATCATATATGCTCTGTTTTTAATGTCTGTCAAACAAGTGTCTGAAATATAAGTTGGTTTAATAAACTTGAACGTGTGTTAAATTAGTGCTTAATTCCAATATTATTATATTTTTATATTATTTTTATATTTTATTTTATTTTTTACATCTTGAAAGGTAAGTATGTTTTTTATTCTTGTTTAATTCTTGTTTTAAAACTTTGTTATTACAGATGGTTGCTATATATTGTGCTGTTGAAAGTTGTTGGGGATCTAAGGAATCTAAACATTCCTTTCCAAATCCTTCAAAGAACATCGACTTGTTTAATAAATGGGTTAAGTTATGTGCCAATAAAAGACTTCTTGAGATGACACCTCAAAAAAATTTTACAAACTGCAGAGTGTGTTCAAAGCATTTTATTCAGGAGGACTTTTACGTAATAAAAGACTTGGTCGTCTGGCTTACCCAACATTATTATTACCAGGTATAGCTTGGTTTCATTAAAATTAGTATGTAATTTTGCAGTGGTGTTTTCTGCATGAAAATCTATATATTTTTAAATATAAGTTAATATTATTATTTTTATTGCCTGCTTTTGTCTGTCAGAACTAAATACCAAAGTAAATTTGTTTAATTTTATAAAACAAATAAATAATATTTTAAATTCAAAAGACAGTAGAAAGTTAAATAAAAAAGCTCCAGAGCTCTTTCATAAAGCCAGGGCACTGGCTTTAAAAAAACATTTTAAAAAGATAATACAATACTAAAAAATTTAAAGTATATTTGTTTAATTTTATTAAACAAATTAATAATATAAAATTCTCATGACAGGCAGGAAACTGGCTTTAAAAATATTTTCAAGTTAATCAATTTTGACCAATGCAAGTTATTTTAATGTATATATAGTGAAACGCATCTACTTTTTCATTTAATTGTTATGTTTTTTATGTTCAATATTTATGTAAATCAAAATAGGATTTTATTATATAATTATGTTTTGTACGGTTTAATTGAGGAGCTTTTAATCAAAACCAAATTTGTCCACTTCTGGCAAATAATTATTACTACTTAAGTAGTGATCATTGTAGAGGAGGATCATTCACACATACAGTTGTATTCAATAAAAAAGCGTACAAGAATTAGAATGAGAGAAAACGTGTCAAAATAATATTATTGCTTAAAACCGGCTTATCACTGACATAAGTCATTAAAATAATTACTATAGGTTATAAAGAGCATTGACGTCGTAGGTTAATAATATTACAAAAATTAATAATTTTTAATATAGATTTTTTATTTCTATTATACCACGGTACGAATTGACCATTCTTCTTCGATTCTTGATACTATTTGAGCCTTTTAAACTGACGAGGCATTTTTATTTTCTACTGTCAGTTATAGTGACTTAAGTCAGTGGAAAGCCGGTTTTACGCAATAATGTTGACAGTTTTCTCTCATTCTAATTCTTGTACGCTTTTTTAATGAATACAACTGTACATATAATCACTTTAAAAGTGGTCAAAGACCATTATTTTAAATGGGACTTAAAAATAATCATCTTAAATGAAATTTGGTCATAACCAAACATGTTTGTTCTCTAAATTCAATTCTACAAATTCTAAAAGGTTTCTGAATACAGTGGCTTACTGCCTATAGGCATGTTAGAAAAACTAACAGGATATCTTATATAACAACAATTTAATGTATTTTTATGTTTTTACGCTCCCCTGAAAATTTGATCAAATGGATAAATTTGTTTTTGACCACTCACTCCTGAATTATTTATTTTATGTTTATTATTTGTATGGCCTAAGATAGTATTTTACTGTTAATGTAATATTTATATTGAAAAATATATGTTAAAATATTTTAATTATTTCATTTATGACCTAACAATGATTATATTTAAATATAAATGTATTTTAAGAGATATTTTACAATTTGGAAAAAAGCAATGTAAAGCCTTGTTCAGTGCAAGAACCAGTTAACTATTCTGCCGTGCTTAATGAAAACGCCGTAACCAACAATTTTGAGATTTTTGTTTTACGGCATTTTCTACTAGAAAAATTCATCCTGCGTCTATCCCCGGTACTCAAAAATATATATGAAATATAGATACGGTTTTTTGAGTACAGGGGATAGACGCAGGATGAATTGTTCTAGTAAAAAATGCCGTAAAACAAAAATCTCAAAATTGTTGGTTACGGCGTTTTCATTAAGCACGGCAGTATTTTAAAATGTAAAACATTTTAGTGGAAATTGAGTTATCTAGTTCTTGCACTGTACTCTGCCAATTACAAAATAATATATATTTTTAAATATTGGCGATTTTGACAACGTTGCATTTTAATTACTTCAATTTTAATAGATGGCGCTTTATTGCATCAAAACGTTTTCAGGTAGTTACGTATCTATTGGTGTGGTCTAGGGTTACGGCACTAGAGCCCAAAAAAAAAACAAAATGATAAAATTTCGAACTGGTCCATTATTTTGTTATAAATTTAATCCAATTAACTTTCTCCCCGGTAAGCTTTATATATTTTTTAAGTCTGAAAGGTAACAAATTAGCCGATTGTCTGCTAATTCCCAATCCTGGCAGTCAAATAAAGCAGACAGCGAGCGGCAGCCAGGTGCGGGAGCGAACCGCGAACTACGAGGGACCGAGTTGCAAGGTAATAACAAATGGTTATAAAGCGGCTGACAGTTACCTCTTCATCATTGATGTACCAGGTTAGGTTTGCCGCGGGATCCGATCCTGGGGAATAGCAGCGGGCCTTTATCTTCTTTCCAATCTCGACTTTGTTGGGCTCGATATTCATCACGGGATTAGTGCTCGGCAGCTCTGCAAAAGGCGAAAGAGGCACGGGGTTAGTTTAAAGTCGGGATTTTCACATCAAGTGAAGGATGCGACTGCTGTACCTTGATTGGGTTATTTCGAATTCAATCACATATTGGATGTTACTTTAATTGGGTGCATGTTTAATTTTGACTTACAAAATATTTATAAATTAATTGATTTTTTGTGTTGACTATGTGGTTAAGTATACAGTGTGCACCAAGTCCTCTTCTATGTGTATACATATATGTATTTCTTTATTTAAAGAGCTACAAGGCCGGTTGTATAAAAAAATATTCGTGATTAAAGCCTGATAAAATAAAATTTGCATAATATGTAATATTATTGGAAGTAAAGCTAAAAACCTGTCAAAACAAAAAATCGTTATAAATTTGTTATTCCTGAGAATTTTGAAAAAAATAAAGTTTAACATTTTTATTGAATTTATTTGCTTCTATATTTAAAGTTACCATTAACATCTTTTGTTTTTATAATGGCCGTCAAAACTTGGGTAGTAAGTTTAATACATTGTTAGATTCCTTGATTACTTTTTTTTCGATAGCGGCCAGAAAAAAAACAAAAGATGGTGATGGTAACTCAAAATATAGTAGGCGAGAAAAATTACAAATTGGATAAAATGTAAATAAATGTGTATTTGTACGTGTAAAGAAATAACGAAGTTAAAACAATTTTTGGTTTTGTAATGGTTCAGTACTTTAATACGTTTTACGAATTTATTTTTGAATAAGTTTGGAATTTCTAAATTGTGTTGTAAAATGTAAAAAGCTTTGCAAAGGAGGATGATGCAAGAAGCGATGCTCCAGGTACACGAAGCGAGTACTAAAATGAAATTTATTGTAAAGTTCTGTTTAAATAATTGTTACAAGTGTTTATGTATTCTCCCAGGTTAGTTCTTAATTTTAGTAGCCCAATTACGTAGTAAAGTCCACTAAACGTAAAACGATTTAGATTTAAATAAACTGATCATTAGTTATTTTGCACTACTACGTTTAGTGAATTTTACCTGTTATTAACACCTTTTGTTTTAGCTATTTTTATAAAATGTTTTTGACTTTTAAGTTTACTGCTAAATGTAAAAATTTCTATTCCTTTATTTTATTGTCTAAGGCTTAATGTATTTGTACACGGTCCCTGTAACTCAAATGTTTAAACCTTCCCCAACACAATTATGTATTTTTTGTGGTAATTTTAAAACAAAAATCAGTGTAACCCAGGACGTTTCGTTGCTTAAAAGGGAGTATTGACCGTTAGTTTTAAACTTTAAATGCTCTTTTTTCTTTAGCACGTAGTTTGTAGTAGATACTAAAATGCTCCACTCCTTGAGGGATAACTGGTCACCTAGGTTCTCTAGGTGGCATCGCAACTTTTATCCCGAACCTTCATCTTTACGCAACGTTGACAGACTAACAGTTAACTGCCCTGTTAAACTAACAACGTTTTTCCAATTTTTGAACCTATAGGGGTAGATAACGTAACGAGCGTCGTTATTCCATTGATTTGCATAATCTTTTAAAGAAACAATGCCTAATCGTGTAATCCCTTGCTACTTCATAGCCGAACAGGGTTTTTTCTCAAGCTCTTTTTCCCTAGTCGTATCTCCCTAAGAGCCCTTGCTTTTTTGTAAAGTAAATTAAATTGGGGTAAACTAAACACTGTATTTTATTTTTTTGTATACCTAATTCTCCCAAGTATGATTCTTAAAGCAATGCATTTAATAAAACAAGTAGGTAAACACAACGTAAAGGTCCAAATTTTGGTAAGCCATAGTCACAAAATAGTTTTTTTCAAATCATTTAAGATCCGCTTATTTTTGAAATTATCAAATTCTATTTTAATAGACTTGTAATTATGCAATTTTTCTCTAATTTAACCGACCTTGTAGCTCTTCAAATATAGAAGATACCCATCCATAAAAGGATACTTAGTGCAACCTGTATGTTTCAAAAATGTTTTATTATAAAAAATTTTAATATCTTGTACCTGTACGACGTATGTACAAGGTGTTTTTCTAATAAATGGGACACCCCTATAAAATCTTTATTAAAATAGATATCGAAAAAAAACTTAAAATCCAGCTTTCCTTGGCAAGCTGGATTTTAAATTGATTGAAAAAAACAATGTCAATGATATATTAATAAATTTACCGATGCTTTTTTGTCTAAAAATATATTTTTTAAACTATTTTAAAAAAATATATTTTTAAACAAAAAAGCATAGGTAAATTTATTAAAATATCATTGACATTAAAGACAATTGTCTTTTTCCATTAACACCCTGTTTTTTTTTGAATATTTAAATACAGTTTTTCCTTCTGGTTTTAAAAATATATAGTGTGTATATTAGGGTGATGCAAAAAAAAATTTTTTTTGAATTCTATGCGAGACCACTCGGGTTTTCAAAGAGTATCAAGAAAATAAAAATCTGTAAAAATTTGAGAGAAATCAATTAAAATTTAGAGGTCGCTCAACGCAATTGTTTTATTTAGAAAAATCACGCATCTCAAATGCATTGCTATAAACAAGTAGGCATATTTCATACAAATTTGAATGAAAATGGTTGAATTTTTTTTTGGTGGACTCTTAATGATTATTCTAATAAATAATGTTGTCCCGATTTCAAAAAATTTTTCATAATATTTAAAAATTATATATTAATTAGCAAATATATCTTAGTTAACAAATAATTCATTCAATTTTTTTTTTGTTTCAAAATCTGTAAAAACATTGTTAATAGGTCTACAAGCAATTATTCATTCACAAAAACACTCGCCCTCATCGTTAAATATGAAAAAAAAATAATATTTTAATTAACTACACTTCGCGTCAAATTTAACGCACCACTAAAAGTTTGTCACATTTTCAAAGTTGATTTTCTCGCGAACCGTCAATCCGAATTTAGTGATTTTTATAATAAATTGTAGGTTTATTCTTCGGTAATAATGCGTTTATTAAAATATTTTTTTAAATTAACATTTTGAGTATATACAGGGTGCAAGAGTGATATAAAGTTTTTTCCCGGAAATTTAAAACGCCCTGTGAATTGTACCAGCTATAACAGCATGTGTATCTTATAATCAAACTATAGCCACATCTTCTCTTAACATTTTGTTTTTTGATTCACCGCGATATCTTTATTTTTAAATGAAATATACAGTTAAAGATTAAAGAACTCCAGTTTAATACAAAAATGTAAAAAGAACGATTGTAACAATAACAACAAAAATATTAACAAAATCAATAAAACCAACATTAAAGAATATCAATATCGCATATTTCTGCCTCTACTTCTAATTACGGCTTCACATCGACGGCTTACACTCGAAACCAGATTTCTAATCTCGTCTTGATCAATGACATTTCATATTTCTCGTAGCATATTTGCTACGTTATCAAGGGAGGCAGGCAAGGAATCATGATTTCTTAGTCGTCTACCCATATTATCCCACAAATGCTCGATGGTGTTGAGATCCGGACTATTTTCAGGCCAGTCTAAAGTTTTAACACCCACCTCATGTAAGTACTCTTGCACTATATAGCATTATCCTGCATCAGTAAAAAATTATTACCGGGCGAAAGGGACAACATGCTCAAATAAAATGTCCTCGATATATCGTACACTATTCATGGTACCTTAATCTTTACATGTATATTTCATTTAAAAATAAAGATAACCCGGTGAATAAAAATACAAAATGTTAATAGAACATGGGGCTATAGTTTGATTGTAAGAGACATATGCTGTTATAGCTGGTACAACCAACAGGGCGTTTCAAATTTCGGTTAATAAAGATATCGCGGTGAATCAAAAAACAAAATGTTAAGAGAAGATGTGGCTATAGTTTGATTATAAGATACATATGCTGTTATAGCTGGTACAATCCACAGGGCGTTTTAAATTTCCAGGAAAAAACTTTATATCACTCTTGCACCCTGTATATACTCAAAATGTTAATTTAAAAAAATATTTTAATAAACGCATTATTACCGAAGAATAAACCTACAATTTATTATAAAAATCACTAAATTCGGTTTGACGGTTCGCGAGAAAATCAACTTTGAAAATGTGACAAACTTTTAGTGGTGCGTTAAATTTGACGCGAAGTGTAGTTAATTAAAATATTATTTTTTTTCTCATATTTAACGATGGGGGCGAGTGTTTTTGTGAATGAATAATTGCTTGTAGACCTATTAACAATGTTTTTACAGATTTTGAAACAAAAAAAAAATTGAATGAATTATTTGTTAACTAAGATATATTTGCTAATTAATATATAATTTTTAAATATTATGAAAATTTTTTTGAAATCGGGACAACATTATTCATTAGAATAATCATTAAGAGTCCACCAAAAAAAAATTCAACCATTTTCATTCAAATTTGTATGAAATATGCCTACTTGTTTATAGCAATGCATTTGAGATGCGTGATTTTTCTAAATTAAACAATTGCGTTGAGCGACCTCTAAATTTTAATTGATTTCTCTCAAATTTTTTACAGATTTTTATTTTCTTGATACTCTTTGAAATCCCGAGTGGTCTCGCATAGAATTCAAAAAAAAATTTTTTTTGCATCACCCTAGTGTATATACTGGGTGTTTCACGTACGTGGTCCATTAAAAGTTTTTTTTAAGGAGAAACGATTTTGTAGCCAAATTAAAAATGAACAATTTACAAAAATTTATTCTTTCAAGATATACATAAAAAAACTTTAAAATATAGAATAATATAAAATAATAATTATAATTATTATTATTATTGTGCATTTTTAATTTAGCTACAAATTCGTTCCTACTTAAAATTGTTTGATGGGTGGCAAATCCAGTGCCGTTCATAGATTTTAAAAAAATCGCTAATATAAAAGTTTACTTATAAAAACTGACGTAGTAAAAATATTATGTTTTTACTCCAAAAATAGAGTTTATCAAGATCTACACAAATCCGGTTAAAATCGCACAATAAATAATTATTTTACAGAGGTGAGTCGCA